GGAAGGGGTTAACGTGCAAGAGAAGGGGGATAATATGCAGGGAAGGGGGATCATATGCAGGGGAAGATAACATGCAAGGAAGGGGGATAACTTGCAGGAAAAAGGGGGCATCTTGCAGGGAAGGGGGATCATATGCAAGGGAAGGGGGATAACATGTCTGGGAAGGGGGATAACATGCATGGAAAGGGGAATAACTTGCAGGAGAAGGGGGATAATATGCAAGGGAAGGGGGATAACTTCGTGGGGAAGGGGGATAACTTGCATAGGAAGGTGGATAATATGCAGAGAAGGGGGATAATATGTCTGGGAAGGGGGATAACTTGTAGGAGAAGGGGGATAATATGCAAGGGAAGGGGGATAACATGTAAGGAAGGGGGATAACTTGTAGGAGAAGGGGGATAACTTGCATAGGAAGGTGGATAATATGCAGAGAAGGGGGATAACTTGCAGGGAAGGGGGATAACATGCAGGGAAGGGGGATAACATGCAGAGAAGGGGGATAATATGTCTGGGAAGGGGGATAACTTGTAGGAGAAGGGGGATAATATGCAAGGGAAAATATGTCTGGCAAGGGGGATAATATACAGAGAAGGGGGATAACTTGCAGGGAAGGGGGATACCTTGCAAGGGAAGGGGGATAATATGCAGAGAAGGGGGATAACTTGCAGGAGAAGGGGGATAATATGTCTGGGAAGGGGGATAACATGCATGGAAAGGGGAATAACTTGCAGGATCATATGCAAGGGAAGGGGGATAACATGTCTGGGAAGGGGGATAACATGCATGGAAAGGGGAATAACTTGCAGGAGAAGGGGGATAATATGCAAGGGAAGGGGGATAACTTCGTGGGGAAGGGGGATAACTTGCATAGGAAGGTGGATAATATGCAGAGAAGGGGGATAATATGTCTGGGAAGGGGGATAACTTGTAGGAGAAGGGGGATAATATGCAAGGGAAGGGGGATAACATGTAAGGAAGGGGGATAACTTGTAGGAGAAGGGGGATAACTTGCATAGGAAGGTGGATAATATGCAGAGAAGGGGGATAACTTGCAGGGAAGGGGGATAACATGCAGGGAAGGGGGATAACATGCAGAGAAGGGGGATAATATGTCTGGGAAGGGGGATAACTTGTAGGAGAAGGGGGATAATATGCAAGGGAAGGGGGATAACATGTAAGGAGGGGGATAATATGCAAGGGAAGGGGGATAACATGTAAGGAAGGGGGATAACGTGCAGAGAAGGGGGATAACTTGCAGGGAAGGGGGATAACATGCAGGGAAGGGGGATAACATGCAGAGAAGGGGGATATGCAGAGAAGGGGGATAACTTGCAGGGAAGGGGGATAACTTGCAGGAGAAGGGGGAAATATGCAAGAGAAGGGGGATAACATGTAGGGAAGTGGATAACTTGCAAGGGAAGGGGGAAAATATGTCTGGCAAGGGGGATAATATACAGAGAAGGGGGATAACTTGCAAGGGAAGGGGGATAACATGCAGAGAAGGGGGATAACTTGCAGGAGAAGGGGGAAATATGCAAGAGAAGGGGGATAACATGTAGGGAAGTGGATAACTTGCAAGGGAAGGGGGAAAATATGTCTGGCAAGGGGGATAATATACAGAGAAGGGGGATAACTTGCAGGGAAGGGGGATACCTTGCAGGAAAAGGGAGTAATATGCAGAGAAGGGGGATAACTTGCAGGAGAAGGGGGATAACTTGCATAGGAAGGGGGATAACTTGCATAGGAAGGGGGGTAACATGCAGGGAAGGGGGATAACTTGCATGGGAAGGGGATAACTTGCAGGGGATGGGGGATAACTTGCAGGAGGAGGGGGATAACTTGCAAGGGATAAACTACACAATGAATTGTTGGATAGGGATTTAATAAAGAAAACTATCATTTGCTGGATTAATACTGAAAGTTTGCTTTCTCAAAATGTTTATTAGAAGTAATACCATGCCAAAATTTTAAAAAGATGATAAAAACGTTATTTTCTATTAGGTAACCATGGCGACATATCAAAATGGGGTAAAGATTGACATTCTACCAAAGGATTCCTGAAAATAAAAAAAAAACAATTTGAGACTGTGATAATAATAAACCGATGCCCCGTGTGCTACAGGCTGAGTGAACGTTTAAGATCCCTTGACAGTTGGAAATTGAAAAAGCTAATGGCGTTGCCTTGGCAATATGTCTTTCTATGCACACGTAATGGCGTTGTCCGTCTTCAGTAGCAAAAAATTAATTGATATAACTGAAAAATGATACGGTTAAATGAAACTGTTTACTTACGAATTGGATACGACTCTAAATGGGTTTGTCTGTATATATTGTCTATCAAATTGGTTACATAGTATGGATGCAAAACTCGTTTTCTGTATAGCTGCTAATTGATCTGGAAAAGAAATGTTAACATTGACCAAAACAGTAACAATGTTCAAAACAGTAACAATGTCCAAAACAGTAACAATGTTCAAAACAGTCACAATGTCCAAAACAGTAACATTGTCCAAAACAGTAACAATGTTCAAAACAGTCACAATGTCCAAAACAGTAACATTGACCAAAAAAGTAACAATGTTCAAAACAGTGACAATGTTCAAAACAGTAACAATGTTCGTAACAGTAACACTGTCCAAAACAGTAACAATGTTCAAAACAGTAACACTGTTCAAAACAGTAACATTGTTCAAAACAGTAACATTGTTCAAAACAGTAACAATGTTCCAAATAGAAACCGCGGCATTGTTCAACACAGTCACAGTAACAATGTTAAAAATATGAATTAAAACAGTGATAAAAACATACCTGAAGTAAAACCTCTTCTCTGTTCCTGGGTTTCGTACCAAAAACTGTCGCCATGTTTCAGATCATGGAACTGTTGGCCCAATAAACAGGAGAGGACAGGTCCCACTGCAGAGCCTGGTTCATCTCTCTCAGACATCGCTCCAGTGAACAAATCCAGTTCATCTACATGACTGAAAAAATATAGAACAATATACACAACACTTGCTTACATTTCCAGAACAACTCGACATCAACCTTTTCAGGATTTTCCAGAGTGGTCAGTAAAAATATATTCTTGTATAAAACAAAAATAGTAGCAAAATAATGTCAAAGCCTTTTGAAATGGTAAGGGGTTCCATAAGGTCAACTACCATAAGGGAGCACCCACCCCAGAAAAATGCAAGAGGGCATAATTACGTTTAAAATTAAATGTCCCGGGAAGGGCCCGCTTATATAGTTGAGGCTCTAGGCTCTGGTTCCCAGTCAATAAAACAGACTTACTTATACAGTCTGCTCATGGAAGGACCAAGACGTCCAAAGATCGAAGAGTAGAAGCTTCGGACTCTTGGCAATCCACACCATTCTCTAAAATCATTATAAGGAGGCAATCCGTGGTCTCGCCCTCTCTGTATATTGAAAGAAGCCAAATCAAACGATATGTCACCAAATTCAAATAAATGGTCGGTGATTTCCAGTGTTAGAAATCGATCCAAAACTTCGGCTTGGTTAGTTAAAATGTTGTCCACCACTTGGTCAAAAGAGTTGAAGATGTACTGTGGGTCGTTAAAGAGTTTTCTGGTCTGGACCTTCGTGCCGTTGATAATGAAGAAATCGGGTATCAGAGAATGACCGAATCTATAGGCTGCTGTGGCGAAAGAATTAGCTATACTGGGATCCGTATGGATATCATAGCGATATGGACCATCTAATCCAAACCGCCCTCTAGTTGCTGAATTCAATACCTCCGGCAGGAAATCTTTATAGGTTATTTTCTGAAATGAATTAAGAATCATATACCCAATCTGATGCAATGCTACGGTCCTGATACTTAGAGACAGATCAAGACAGAGTTTCAATTCAAAGAAGTTTGGCCAAGGACCAGCTGGAAGACAGGATCCTCGAGAATGTTAACTTAAAAGGTTTTTTTTTTAATTTCTTACTCACTTGCATGAAAGCAGCAATTATTTTGCGTGTTTCTTGAAATATGGTTTCATCATCCCAATTTGTAGAAAATTTGAACTCGTCAGCTATGTAGTTGTGAAATCTGACGAATAATGTATGTAGAGCTGTTAAACCAGGAAACACATGTACTCGTTCATCTCCTTCAATATAAATGTAGAAATCAACTGAAATGGGGTAAAACTGCCAATTCTGCTGCTCCGGACAGTAACGCATTTAGAGGGTGCGGCTAAGGGTGGAGGTTTGATGTAAAAATACTCTACCACAAAACTATCAAAATTGTCAGACATAGAAATAGAAACCATCCAATCTATCCAGTTTCCATCAAATTCCAACCCTCTCCCTTCCCCGAACATAAATATACATTAGTTACCTGCATCAAAGCAATAAGGAGAGTTAATCAAGATGCAGTCCGAATCTCGTCCTCGTGGTAAGAAAGCACCGCCGGCTGTTGTTTCCATTCTCCCTGAAATAAGTTATAGTTTGACACCAAGCTTCGTCAGCTATCAGGTGCGACGACATAATCGACAAGATAATGAGAATCAGCTGGTTTGAGTCATACGAATATCAACGGATGGACACTATCAAAATATTAACTTATAATTAATGACTTGACCAACAAAAGCAGGGAGATAGAAAGAGTACAATAGGGCCCTTTCGACTACCAAAGGATGCAGTATGAATGTTGACAGAACAGAACACACGTCGTTAGTCTAATGTACAGCACGCCCCTTCGCCTTTATATGCATTGCACAGTTCCTAGTACCCAATTCAGCTCAGCTTATTTGTAAATTACTTCAGGTTTCCAAATGTGATCGTTAATAGGTCTGATATAAAGTACCGATTTTGCATTGGTTTTCGACAACAAAACATGCCCTTTGTCTAAAACCTGTTAAAATATCTCACACAGAAGACAAGGAAAAGTCACTTCCTTAAAAGACCACTTTTTATTAATTTGACCTCATGTTTGGGTTTTGGCACTTAAATCAATTTCGCAAGAGGCTGCGTGTAAAAACCACACCCCATTCGTCATAAAATGTCTAAATGCGCCAGAAGTTTCTATATGGGGATTGGAACCTGTAAAATATTTACCATCAGGGCCACGAAGACGATCCTGTGTTCCTTGATCGCTGCCATAAACATTTGAGGCATCAATGAAGGCTGAGAGTAGATTCTGTTGTTCTCTCGGTTTCCTGACACCTATGGATAAGGAATGAAATAGAGTTTTACGTCCTACAGTTCTTCATCTTATTGAGCTAATGAAATTAAATAGAGTTTTACGTCCTACTGTTCTGCATCTTATTGAGCTAATGAGACGAATGGAGTTTTGCTTCCATAGAGATGCCGAATTTTTAATCCCAACCTCGGCAGTTGTCCACTCATTAAGTCAGCTTGCCACTTATTTGTACCCCAAATTTTCGGAAGGCTGGCGAATACACTCTTCCTAGAAATAGTAGTGCAGTCTATGGTTTCGACTCTGAGACAGTTGCGACATAAAATGGACAACCGACCAATTCCATTACTGCAACATAACACCATTCACCATTGTCCCTTCAGTTACACCATTTGCACCTCTGAACAATCACGTCTGGCTACGGCCTTGAGCTGCAGAGTTTCAAAATGAAAATTGGTCTGGTGTACTTACTCATTTCCGGATTGACTGGTCGGGAACGAATAAAATCCATGCATTGGGACTCAAAGAATCGGTCTTTGGTAGTTTGAAACATTGAGATAGTAAAACACATTCCCCTCCTGGAAACAAATCCAAGGTAAAACAAATAAAACTTCCATCATCGTACCCAGCTTTACACAGTGTTATAAATGTAACTTGATTTAGTTTTTAGGATGGACGATGAGGTTGGAAGAGAGATAAGGGTGTAAGATCAGAGGGAAGAAGACCTACTGGGCGATAGGAAGGGGAGACTTTTCCCAATTTGTCAAGAAATAAGCGGAGCAATATGCCTTCTCTTTGAGAGTCCCGAGATGCCCTTCCCACCTACTCTTGATATAGCATCCAATGAATTGAAATACGAATGATTTTACCTTCTAAAAGTATCAGCATGGTATCGCCCTATACTAGCTCCAGATTCACTGCAACAAGTTGTTAAATCCACAGCTGAAAGTACAAGAATCTGATATTATTTTTACGATGTTTTCGTCCAATACTATTGGTTGTACAACTGGCGGATGTAATGATGATGTAAAGAATTCACGCGCAATCGATCAATTTACTTCGTTGTTCTTTCTATATAAAGAATCAATATGGTCGCTGATATCAAGAATACGCGTGCATTCGCCAAATTGACCTAAATTATACTAACGTTGTTCTATAGCATGTGTATTTCCTCAATTGATCCAAATACTACTTACGTTGTTCTATAGCAGCTGCAGTTAAATCGTGATCGAGAAACTGTCCCCATTGCATCAGCATCACGCTATGAATAGAGGTTGTGGGATTTGGATCGGGTCTGTGAATTTCAACGCCGATTAATCTGGGACTTGGCAATTGGCTTCGGAAACAGCCAAACATGCTCAAATCGTTTCTACAAGTTCCACGAAGTCTTGGTATTGATATTCCTGTAAGTAGACAAGAGGGATTTTATGCTATAATAAAATATATCATTATCAGTACCGTATAGGCCTGTAGCCAGTCTTGGTTGTTGGGGGAGGGGCAAGTAATATATCCAGAGGGTCAATGAGTGGTGTTTAGTTTCAGTGGTTTAGGACACGGAATGGATTTCGAAATCAGGGAAGTTTCCACTACTTTCCAGCACGATAATTATGTAATATAATCAATTGATTTCATTTAGAAAGGTATCTAAATTGTTTGCTTATATAAAGAGTTCAGATATCCACGAAGTTCTGCTATAATACTATTTTTGCATACGAATGTAGTGCCAGTTAATCCTCTTCTGTCGTCTTTTATCAGGAGATTAGGTACCATGAGTTCGAATCTTCCTTGACAAATTTTATACCACGGCTATTCCTTCCGAGAGTCCGTCCGATGCGTCTATACGTACCGTCGTCATAATGTGGCGGTAAAAAGCGTTTAAATTTTTCAAAGGATCGGCCCCAGTTTGGGTATCTCAGATTGTTGCACTCTCCGTCAGCTGATCTGTAATATGGTGTAGTTAAAGGACACCGGGCTTGTCTGTAAATAAAGGAAATGAAATTAAATGAACTTGTATGTCCTTCTTTTCTTCAAATTATTGGACTAATGAAATGAAATAGAGTTTTATATCCCACTGTTCTGTATCTTATTGGACTAATGAAATGAAATGGAGTTTTATATCCTACTGTTCTGTATCTTATTGAACTAATGAAATGAAATAGAGTTTTAGATCCAACTGTTCTTTACATTATTGGACTAAATGAAATGAAATGGAGTGTTATATCCTACGATTCTGTACCTTATTGGACTAATGAAATGAAATAGAGTTTTATATCCTACTGTTCTGTATCTTATTAGACTAATGAAATGAAATGGAGTTTTATATCCTACTGTTCTGTATCTTATTGAACTAATGAAATGAAATAGAGTTTTAGATCCAACTGTTCTTTACATTATTGGACTAATGAAATGAAATGGAGTTTTATATCCTACGATTCTGTACCTTATTGGACTAATGAAATGAAATAGAGTTTTATATCCTACTGTTCTGTATCTTATTAGACTAATGAAATGAAATGGAGTTTTATATCCTACTGTTCTGTATCTTATTAGACTAATGAAATGAAATGGAGTTTTATATCCTACTGTTCTGTATCTTATTAGACTAATGAAATGAAATGGAGTTTTATATCCTACTGTTCTGTATCTTATTAGACTAATGAAATGAAATGGGGTTTTATATCCTCCTGTTCTGTATCTTATTGGACTAATGAAATGAAATAGAGTTTTATATTCTACTGTTCTGTATCTTATTAGACTAATGAAATGAAATGGAGTTTTATATCCTACTGTTCTGTATCTTATTAGACTAATGAAATGAAATGGAGTTTTATATCCTACTGTTCTGTATCTTATTAGACTAATGAAATGAAATGGAGTTTTATATCCTACTGTTCTGTATCTTATTAGACTAATGAAATGAAATGGAGTTTTATATCCTACTGTTCTGTATGTTATTGGACTAATGAAAAGAAATGGAGTTTTATATCCTACTGTTCTGTATCTTATTAGACTAATGAAATGAAATGGAGTTTTATATCCTACTGTTCTGTATCTTATTAGACTAATGAAATGAAATGGAGTTTTATATCCTACTGTTCTGTATGTTATTGGACTAATGAAAAGAAATGTAGTTTATATCCTACTGTTGTACTTTTCAGTAGAAGGGCAATTGCATATGAAAATTGGGTTTAAGTCGTTTGGTCTTAGTCAAATGAAACGAACAATTGACAACCAAAACAAGGTGCAAGTCAATTGGCCCAGTCAAGCTGGTCCTAGTCAACTGGTTCGAACAATTAAAATCCCAGTCGAGTACAGCAAGTCAAGTTGTCTCAGTCAAGTGAGACAAGTCATTTGGTCCTAGTCAACTGGTACGAACAATTCAAATCCCAGTCGAGAACAGCAAGTCAAGTTGTCTCAGTCAAGTGAGACAAGTCAATTGGCCCAATCAAGTTGTCCTAGTGAATTGATCCAGTTGTGTTGAATACGTCAGTTGGGACAAGTCATTTGGTCCTCGTCAACTGATACGAACAATTCAAATCCCAGTCGAGAACAGCAAGTCAAGTTGTCTCAGTCAAGTGAGACAAGTCAATTAGCCCAATCAAGTTGTCCTAGTGAACTGATCCAGTTGTGTTGAATACGTCAGTTGGGACAAGTCATTTGGTCCTCGTCAACCGGTACGAACAATTCAAATCCCAGTCGAGAACAGCAAGTCAAGTTGTCTCAGTCAAGTGAGACAAGTCAATTGGCCCAATCAAGTTGTCCTAGTGAATTGATCCAGTTGTGTTGAATACGTCAGTTGGGACAAGTCATTTGGTCCTCGTCAACTGGTACGAACAATTGGCGACCCAAACAAATTTGTAACGTCAATCGGTCCAGGGCAAGTGGGACAAGTCAATTAGCCCAATCGATTAATATTGGTTGGCTAAGCATCTGCAGCATGAAACATAGAATTATCATCATTACCTCCTTTTCCTTTTCTTTGAGCTATGTTCACGTTCAGTAGCCGGTGAGTTGAGACTGAATCCAAAACCATTTTTTAAAAAAGAGCTCCGGGCTAGACACATCGTAAGGGAGGTGATAGGGGGAACCACAAGTTCTGAAAAACGACATTAATTTTATATTATAATGATGGAGTAATTGTTATATGAAGAGTTTTTGGGCCCTAACTTGCATCGCTTTGGTTCCTAACCTAGGATGTTTTCACCCCAGGGGTGTGGGACTAGGGTGTCAGCAACGCGGTCAAACCTTGTGGGAGAAGAATTTATATTTAAAGATCTATATGGGCTTATAGTGCCCATTGGGAGGGGCCGTGGGGTTTGGTGATGATATTGGTCGGCGGTCAGACGTAATCCCCCCCCCCCCCCAACCCAAACCGAAGCTACTGAACTAAACTCATCGGACGGTATATGTGAATCAATTTACCTTCAGTGGTGTCATTTTGTTGAGCTAAACTTGCGATAAACCAGACAAAAAATAAGGCAAAAACAAAATTTACTTTCATCTGGAATAGTTAACGTGATTTAGTAAACAAACAAAATAAGCATTCATCATTACTTAGTAAGCATTTTATCAATTTATTTTGTTAACATTTGATCGATTTTGTTAACATTTGATCGATTTTGTAAACATTTTATCGATTTTGTAAACATTCATCATCATTTTGATAACATTTGATTGATTTTGTAAACATAAATCATCAAAGCATAAACATTTTGTCGATTTTATAAACCATCACGATAAAATTGTAAACAATTTATTATTTTGTAAGCAATTTATTCATTTTGTAAACATTCATCAGCAAATCGTAAACATTTGTCACCATTTTGTAAACACGCATCTATTAATTGTAAACAAAAAAAATTTTTGGTGAAGCTAAATCATAGGATCCATGACGTCAAAGATTCCAAAATATTGGTATTTGTGACGTCATTAATCCGTGAACAATCGGAAACATTCACACTCACAAAAATAAACCCCAAACAAGTTTTTTTTTTGGATTTTTCCATTCTTTGGTTTAAAAGACGATAAAATGACGAAAATAAGACAACATTATGACTTACCTTCGTTATATATTTGAGACCAACACTGTCTGTTCAGAGTTATTCGATCCCATTTTTTTTATTTCTTTCGGGGATTGTCCTATTGGATTGGTTAAAGGGTACTCACGTCAAAGATCGTATCTTTAGGTAGCCCTAAGTTAAGTTTTTATAATCAGGGTTACTGAGTAAAAAGTTCGTATTTTTGATCATAATATTGCCTAAATCTATCTATAATATCTTTGAAATAACGAGAAAAAAATACAAATGAATTGCCCAATATTGAAACGTTAAAGTACGTTACACCTTTCACTGCACAGGGCAAATTGAAATCTGAATGAGTGGTACATGATTATGAAAGAAAGAAAGGTTAGTGCCAATTTGAAGGATAACAAAATACATGTAGATTAACGGGAATCCATTCTACCAGCTGGTCCTCTTCCAACCAAACCTCTTGGCATTGATTTTACAAGGATAACAACTTAGGTTCACGAGGATCCTGTCTCCCCATGAACCTTGGCTAATTCTCTTGGTATTGATTTTACAAGAATAACAACTTAGGTTTACGAGGATCCTTTCTACCAGCTGGTCCTTGGCCAAACCTCTTGGTGATGATTTTACAAGGATAACAACTCGGGTTTAAGGAATCCTATCTATCAAAACTCTTGGCATTCTTCTTTCGCAAATTATCCTTACCCATTTACAGCTGGGATTTGATATTATCAGATCTTTTTACTTAATTAAACATGTATATGCAGTGACATTTTGAAGCACGAAATTCCATTATAACAGTATAAAAATCAAAAATAAGATATTGCTTATTTTGATCGTCCCCGATCTAGACCACCCGTTGCCCTACATTTTAAAGGATAAATGAGCTCAAGATCAACCTATAGACAAGTGTGTTTCATCCAGTCATGTAGGATTTTAACTGGGTAGTAGGCTCGACTTATTATTATATTTTTTATTCAAATTGTTCGGACATTGGACAAATATATTTGTATTAATTTTCTGAACATGAGGTGTGCAATGGTGCAAACTTTACACCTGCTCTCCGACAACTATTAACAGTAAGCTCAGAATTGATTTTTTCTGTCATTTCACAAACTTCAGAATGACTTCAGATTCAGAAATATCGGGTTTGTTGCAAAATAATGTAAATGAAATGAAATGTAGTCCATACAAGTACAAGAGAGTTGACGTTAAACCCAAGCCAATAAATAAAAAACCCAGGGCAATAATAACTGCAGGCGAAGATTGAAGTTGGCTTTTTATATCACAATATATTCAAGACGTTTTGTTTCGTTTTGGACAATACGGGATGTAGAATTATGAGGGACGATGTAGGGCCGATTATCGATGAAAATGGGGACCCTCGTCTATCTTCAATCTCATACCTTGATTGCAATAATCATTTTTCTTGTGTCACGAAATGCAGCGATTTGGTTCGATTGTTCTACCGCGTGTCACGTTAACAAGTAAATCTCGTAAAAGGGACTAAGACAATAAATATCCATGTCACGTGATTTTCAAACCGGCTAATCAACACGCTTCTACATACGTTTTGTTTTGTACAAAAAAAACACACAAACTCGGGAATATGATAGCCGTTAAAGCAATCCCTTTCGTAAGAAAAAGGGTCGTTTTGATTGGTTAAAATTCGACGACGTTGACGACGGACACAGAGCAAACACTAATTTGTATTTAAGTAATTTATTGACTATAGTTAGCTATATGAGGTGCTATCAAATCAGGATCTATCAGTGTATCTTCTAGCGGTAAATCTACGTTATATTCGTACTGCTGATGTTTGTGTTGAAGACCTAGACGCCGAGTTCTCTGAGGTATTGGTAATTCAGAATGATGAGCAGGCAAGGGCTCCGTGAAAAAATATGGATGGAGTAATGCCTGAAAGAAAAAGAATATTTAATATCCAGTACTCAGGGCCTTAAGCATATTTTGCGAACAGTAACATCACCAAACAAGTTGCTGTCAGTGTCCCTGATATACATAAATTTTTGTAGAAAATCTCTTTAAAATCCCATTCAGGCCAATTGCTTTTAGAAAATGCTCTATAATGTAATTTGGATATTGTTACCTCTTTAGCTGATATCCTCTGTTTGGATGGATACACAAGGAATCTTTTTAAAAGATCTAGAGCGTTAGGTGTGCCATCTACTACTATATCTTCAAATGGAATAGCGAGGTTATGTTCAAATGATATTTTATGATAATCTGGCAGATCAGTCATCCCCTAGAAATAAATAAATAGAAATAGAATTGAGTATGGGCAACACCAGGCAGTGTGCAATGTAATAGAACAAATAGCACAGCGGCATAAGCCTTCTATTTTTCCGATTTCTAACTGTTGAGAGTACAAGATTTGAACAACATAATATAGAAGCGGGGAGCACATATAACAAAACACAAGACAATATTATGGAATATAACACACTTCTTTAATAAGGTTGGGCACATAACGTTTCAACACAAGATACACGAGTCGTCATCAGATGTAATGATGAAGACACGTGTATATTATGTTGAAACGTTATGTGCCCAACCTTATAAAAGAAGTGTGTTATATTCCATAATATTGTCTTTTTTTTTGTTATATGTTGGGAGTATAGACTGTAACACACAGGGCCTCATTTGATTGACTTATACAAATGCCTAAAGGCTTTTCTAAACTTGGAAAAATATCACCTATTATTTTGGTTTTTTTGATCCAACAGGGTTAAAAAAAAAAACAACTTACTGGCCATGTTTTCTCTGTGGGGGTTCCAAGCACCCGTAAAACATAACATAACTGTTCTATATCTGTTTCTCCCTGTATATAGAAAATATATAAACATGTTGTATTTACCAGTCATGAAATGCTGATTTGACTGTATTTACCGTCATGTTGATAGGATGAATCAGCTCTAGACTGTTCATTTGCTTGCTTGCAAAGACATTGGAGAGGAATTGGAAAGGTTTAGATAGAAACTTTGAATGCCCCAGATCCAAATACAAAGGCTAGAAACTTTGAGTACCCAGAAAACAATAGCCTAGGACACATTTATGAATAAATACATTTGCTGATAAAAACTTACTGATATTATCAAAATGAACATGTGGTCATACTGAATAATCTAAGTACAATAGGATGTGACTTTAGTAGGTCATATCAATATGACCTATTTTCCAACTTACATATTTGACTTAGAAATTATATTAAAGGGACAGATGCGCCATATTTTTGACCAATCATACTTTAGTTCCAGAAACTGGAATTTTTTAGCTTATATGAACAGTGATAGTGTTCACAGCTCACTGTCGAAATCTGAACCTTCAAATTCATGTATGTCCAGAATTATCAGCGTTTGAAAGTTAAAATGACAACTCGTCTTTTCTTGAGACACTGCCATATATAGAACAGCCATATATAGAAATAGGAAAACAAGTTATATTTAGAGGAATTACGTGATTTTCGTACATCTCTAGTACTTCTGAAGACTATTTACATATATTCAAAACTCAAATCCGCAAAAATGGTGCACCTGTCCTATTAAATTACATATTTGACTTATTCTTATTAAGTTAAGTGCCGATATGTTTTATATTTTTTAGCCTGTGGTAACAATAAGTGTAATTCATATTTGACTTATTTTTATTAAGTTAAGTGCTGATATGTTTTATATTTTTTAGCCTGTGGTAACAATAAGTGTAATTCATATTTGATTTTAAACTTAAGTCTTTGGTGAAATATTTTGCAAATCAGAATATTTTTGATTAATATAACGATGAAATGCTAAAAATGTCACAAAATTTATTAAAAATATGATCTTTGAAAGACATACAGGAGTAGGAAAGATACATTAATCACTAATACTGTTGTTAATTATTTTACTTGATAATGTACCTGTTACCTGTATGTGTTTCAAAACGTAGTATATAATAAACTCAGAAGTAGTATATCTATATATCTTAGTTTTTTTTTAAAATATAATGAAAAAAAAAAAAAAAAAACAGAGACTTACCGGGAACAAGGGAGAGTTGTTTAATAATTCACCAAAAATACAGCCAACAGCCCTACAAAATAAACCAGGGCATTCTAGTTGACTCAACCATAAATAGATCAGTTTACTGTTCTGACAAAATTTTCCTCATTGCACACTTCATCTTATTTGCAGAATTAGTTGCAGACAATTTATTAGGATGTAAAACTTCATCTCATCTTGGTAAATTTTCCCTCATTGCACACTACCTTATGATTAGATTATCAATTTCTGAAGTAAAACTCCATTTCATTTCATTTTGAACCATTAACGCGTATTTCAATTTTAAAAAGGGAGATAAACTTTACCTACCATAAATCTACGCCTTCGTCATATTTTCTAGCACCATACAATAACTCTGGAGATCTGTACCATCTAAATATAGCACAAATCAAATGTCACAAATCAAATATTACAATCAAATTCTATAAATCAAATGTCATAAATCAAATGTCATAAATCAAATGTCACAAATCTGATTTTACAAATCAAATTCTATAAATCAAATGTAACAAATCAAATGTCATAAATCAAATAAAACAAATCAAATTCTATAAATCAAATAAAACAAATCAAATTCTTTAAATCAAATAAAACAAATCAAATTCTATAAATCAAATAAAACAAATCAAATTCTTTAAATCAAATAAAACAAATCAAATTCTATAAATCAAATGTCATAAATCAAATAAAACAAATCACATAAAACAAATCACATTGTACAAATCAGATGTCACAAATCAAAATTTAAAAATACACTCACCTTGTGGCCACCTGATGACTATAAAGCCTCTCTCCTTTATTCTGAAACACCCTAGCTAGACCAAAATCTGCTATCTTTAAATGTCCTGTAGCACTTATCAATAGATTAGCTGGCTTTAAATCCTAGAGATTAATAAAATAAATCATCTAAAAATCAGGATGGTTTCAGTAAATACAGTGGTCTTAATATTTTGTTTGATAGAATTCAATCACAGCCATTCATGTCACTTTTCAAAATGGAAATATATTTGTCTTAATTGATGAACTCTGAAACTTACCTGATGTCTGATTGCACCTATAAAATATCCAAGTGCATTCTTGAAGATTAGGACAATTGGTTTTGGTATTATATATTTTTTTTAGTACCGGTATAGTTTATATTTATGGCGTTGGATACCAAAATTGAAATTTAAAGGTACATTAATACTCAAAACTTGTAATGGATACTTACTCTATGCATGATATGATTTTCATGAAGATGGGCCACTCCCTTTAATAACATCAGCATGTAGGATTTGACTTGAGCCTCTGTCAATGGTTTGTCGCTGTTTCTGATGACTTCTGATAGATCAGACAACATATAATTAAACACTAGCACTATCATAGAACCATGAGGAAAAACATCACGTAATGTTACTACCTAGAAGAAAAAAAATTGGAAAAATGGAAAATTTGATTTAAGTTATAAAAAGATATAAAAAATGTTTAAATTTGTGCTAAAAATTTGAGAAAATCTGTATATGTATATAATGTACTTGAAAATAAATGAGAAAAAAATTATTTTTACAAGGATGGTTCTTGAGGATCCTGTCTACAAGTTGGTTCTCAACCAAACCTCTAGGTAATTATCTTACAAGGATAACTTAGGTTCTTGAGGATCCTGTCTACAAGCTGGTCCTCAACCAAACCTCTTGGTAATTATCTTACAAGGATAACTTAGGTTCTTGAGGATCCTGTCTACCAGCTGGTCATTGGTCAAACCTCTTGGTATTGATTTTACAAGGATAACAACTTAGGTTCTCTAAGATCCTTTCTACCAGCTAGTCATTGGTCAAACCTCTTGGTAATTATCTTACAAGGATAACATCCTTTCTACCTAATAAACATACAAAGGCTAAGGTTGAAACCCTTTTAGACTTAAGATACTTACATACGGATTGTCTTCAATTTCTTGTAAAGCTTTGATTTCTCTGAGGGCTGTGTTTGGTATGCCATCTTCTAAATTTCTTAATGGAATTTTTTTCAGAGCTACGATTTCACCACTCTACAAATTAAATATTTAGTGTTTAATTAAAATACAGCTCTATATATTTTGTTTTATTCATTTTCTGTGGGTAACCTCACTCAATCTGATTTTTTATGGTACAGCTCTAGACGGGTCTTTTTAGTTTCATTTATTTTCGGTGGGTTATTGTGCACATTCAGCATAGTAGGAAAATGCCACTATCCTGAAGAAATTTCCCTTATTGCACACTGCTAAGCATTGTTCTTCTTCATTACCAAATCTCTAGTCGGTAAAATCTCCTCACTCCATATAGAATCTCTCAAGCAAGATTAAATCTCACCTCAATGTGTTTGGCTTTTAAAACTATTCCATGAGCACCTTCTCCTATTCTTCCCAATATAGTATAGTTGTCCATTGTGGATTTTAAAGTCATTCAAATAACCATTAACTCTCGCTAAAATTGAAAAAGTAATCGGTATAACTAAATGTTGCCGGTAGTGAAAAGACAAATATTGTTGATTTGTTTACATGGTTAAGTTTAGACGTTTTGAACCTTAATAATGCTTGAAACACTTACACCGCCTGTTGAAAGCTTAATGGATATTTTGATTTGCCGACAAAACGTGTTATCTTTCTCATCTTTTGTCAAATTTCGATGAAAAATGCCCCATTTCTTTCCATAACAACGACGACGCTAATCAATAAAATTTTATGTTGAAATCATAGTAGTCTGAGTCCTATGATATGGGAGGTAACTCTTCATTATTTTCAGACCACGTTTAACTTGTAGATAATGACACTCATTAAAAATATCCAAATTCAAATAGTTTGGCCATGTCAGATATACCTTTGAGCAATATAAATGAAGTGAAATGAAAAACCCCCCTACTCCTATAAACTGTATGTGTCAGTCGACCGAGTTATCTAGCGAGACGATATATTTTAAAAGGCCAGTTATATAGTGATGTTTGTTGAAAGTCTTGAATATTGAATTGGACTGGGTTAACCAGATTGTCGTCCGCCTTAGTTGAAGCAGATGGGTGTTTCTGGGGATGCTTTTGGAGAAAAAAAAATCATAGTAGGGTATTCACATGGATTATTCAGCCTGGGTTGAAAATTATATTTTTTGGGTACCTTTCGCGCTTCGCATCGAACCGCTTTACACCTTCCCTTAAAATATCAGGCTCACATAAGGTACCATCCTCAAAAAGAACGAAGTAAACCTCTGAGTGCCGATTGCAATAGATTCCCCAAACTTCACTTAAAGTTTCCCTTTGACGTCATTCTTATTGTTCATTCGTGACGTCGTGGACATTTAGTTTCCACCCTTATAATCTCTTTGTCTAAACGAGGGAAAGAAAAGGGGATGTCGTTTGGTAGACGTAGTGGACTTGAATTATGGAAGACGAGCTGAGAATTTCACTAGGAAATGATTCTTTGGGAGCTTTTTCTGTTAATAGAAATGTAGTTACCTCTTATGATCATTATCGTAATGATCAAAACTACGGTCGGAAAAGTGTAAGTAGGGTCTACTAGCTAGTAGGCTAACCTATTTCGAACATACATGTATGTTATATAATCAAGAGTCAATTTGTGAGCACTCGCATTACCCTTGACACATCTGCTATATCTTCTAGGTTCTGAGGTCGTATTCTGTACAACCAGGCGCACACAGGGACGATGGTGCTTTCGGGTTCGAAAGTCCTACCAATCTGTGTAAACCATCCAGTCCAATAGCTCCAGCCACATCACCGAGTCTTCAAGCATTGGTAAGCTTCACTCTTAATTTCAGACCGGGGTTCGATGGGCTACAATAACTCTACGATTGGCGTGCTTCGTAGCCTACGACAAATATAACTGGTATACTTGGGATTAAAAATTCAAAAAAAGTGTAGCCTAATCTTGGCCAAATTTCCCTCATTGTACACCACAAGACGTTGTCCCTTCAGTTAAAATCGAAGAGATTTACAGAACAGTAATTACCATCTTGGTGACTTTATTTCATGTCATTTCCGTTGAGTAGTTCAACCTTCTGTAAAAGTTTCCAGTTGTTCTTTTCAGCCCAGCATCACGACCATCAATCAAACACCGGAACCACGAGTTTGTTGGAAAGATTTCTTGACTCAGCTGAACGCTAAAGGGAAGACGTCGAAGTTCTCTGTAAGGTCTGGGTTCGATGATGTACGAGTTATAGAACACAAGTATTCCCGACACAGCAAACAGAAAACATCCCTTCAGGTAATCACGATCAAAGGGACAGAGCGGACAGCTAATCCCCGCAACACCCCACCCCCCCCTCCCCCCGCAGCCCCGAATGCAAGTTTTTCGGGCAAGACTCTAATAACTAGGTTACAAATTCGGGCAAGCTCAGATATTTCGCCCCCCCCCCCCCTTCTTCCTTATATATATATATAAGAAATTTTTTAG